GGGGTCCGGGGGTGAAACCCCTACCCCGGCTTGGGCCCCGGGGATCCCCGCGTGACAACCCTGCCCGTGAGGGATGTTTGACAAAAAAAAAAAAGTGGACAGTGGGTCGAGAATAGTTGAAATGGGGTATATGGGACGCTGGACCCGTTTTCCAGCAGGTGACGCTCCCCACCAATAGATGGAGCCTCTCCCCGGGTGCTAGTGGTGTCTGATCTCAAGTCAGCATCACTAGCACTACAGGGGGTGCCTTTAAAAAAAAAAAAAAAAAAAAAAAATCTTGTGGTGGGAATTAATCAGGTGAAAAGGGGTCATACCATCATGGTTGATTCCTGTCTCTTACAGAGGCCTAATGATAAGAGTGGGGAAGAAAGTCCACTTCTGGGTATATGATTCATGTCTCTTATAGAGGCCTAATGATAAGAGTGGGGAGGAAAGCCCACTTCTGGGTATAAAGCAGGGTACCGTAGTCAGTCAATCCCCTCGTACGAGGGCAATCAATGCTGCCCTGCGTTTTTAATCTTATCAATGTACTCAACTTTGCCACAGGGACACTGGACCAGATTTCCAGAGTCCTTCTGGAGTTGTCAGAGTCTCGAAATCGCTGAAATTACCTGACATCACTATGGGACAACTAAAGTACTGGTTTCGCCGCTGGGATTCCATGTCTACTCTTGAAAATGAAGCCCCTCCAAGGGTCCTCATGACCACCCTAAAAAATCCAGGGGTGGAGGCAGGCACTCTATAACGTCCTAGAGCCCACTTGGGGAACTCTTTGTTTTTTGTTTTTTTTTTAAAAAAAAAACACACTAGTATTGGGGAACTCGGTCTGACAGCTCTTGAAAGTTGAAAGGCATATTCAAGAGCTATTTTTCAAGGGTTAGTGGAGCGCACCCACTCTTCATGATTTCAAGAGTGTTTCGGACAACTCTAGTTTCAACCTGTTTTGAGAGGCTGATTCTGGAGTAAGGTAAGACATGCCACACCGTTGAATTTTCAAGAGTCTAAGCTCTAGAGTAGTGGAGCGATGCCCTTTTTTTTTCTTTTTTCTTTTTTTTGAAAAAAATCAGAACCATTCGGTTCCGGCTCCTGCCATTCTGGGGAGCAACAGTCCGGTTCCTATTCAACCAGCAAGTCTTGTGAAACATATAGAGGACACACACACGCTCCTCCCCATTATGGTTGGGAGGCCCGAGTGGTCGGCATTGATTGCTTCCTTGCGGAAGGATGTGCCTCCCCTCACCCCTGCTTGACTTGGTCAGCCCATGTTTAGTCCAGCTCCTCTCAGCTCTACAGCTGCCAGATCCATGTGCTATACTAGAGTGGACCAGGGCGAACTTCTCTTCTTCTACAGCATTCCTCTTTCCTTTTCTCTCATTCCCCTCTACATACCGTACCACTGCGTCCCTACCAAGCAGTTGGATGGGGGGGGGAAGGGGTCGGGAAATGCTTCAGGGGGTTTGAGGGGGATCCCTGCATCTAGCTTAGCCCAGTCATTGAACACTAAACGATAGTCTCTCTCTATTACTGCCCCCTGTTGACTCTTGTCTCTCCTGGAGCGATGCCCTATCTTATTATGACTTAATAATGATATTCTTCTTGCGTTTATGTGTGTGGAGGGTGTCAATCATCATGCTGATTCTTTCCATCTCCCAGGAGTCATGCCTTCTTGCACTTCTCTGACAGCCAGCTGAATGCTGCACATCCAGAAGGCCCCCTGGCGACTGCTATTCTAGTGTAGTAGCACTAGCTCTATCACACTCACACACATCACAATCATTCTGCATTGGTGCAAGTTCTTTGCAGGGTACTTTTTTTTTTCTTTTCATTTGCTGTTTTCTCTCTTAGCATTCCATCCATTGTGTATGTCCAAGTGCAGTGGAGTAATGCAGAATGAGTGTGATGTGTGTGAGATCCATTGTGTGAGTGCTTTCCGTCTTCCCAGTTGTGCCATGGACAGAAAACACAAGTGACAAACTTTGTTGTGGTCGCTCATGGCTGAGATTTTTCCTTTTTTTTCAGTCAAAACAGTGGGTGACAATTGCGGATCGCCCAGTGGTTAGGGCACCGGTTGGAGATGCACATTGTGGTCTGAGGTTGCGGGCTCAAAACCCCGCAGGCTCGTGCATAGGCCGCCTGCACGCATTAGGTTGACGCACTACCACTCACACAGACTCAACGCGCGTGGGGCCAGGAGGGACGGATGTACGTAAGGATCCGCATAGACCTGACCTGGGGTCCACCTGAGAGGGTGCCCAGCAGATACTAGCCCCTGCACAGTCCTGGGTCCTCCGGAATGTGCATGCCTCCCCTTGGGTTGCTGGAGGCCATCGGGGGGGACGGCTCCGGGAGCGGCAGGCTCAGTGGGGATGAGTACAGAAGGAGTGAAGGGCTCACCCCTTTCCTAGCAGGAGCGACTCTCATCCCCACAGCATCTGGTGACTGTGGTGCATTTGCCTCCCGACCGGGTGCCTCGGGGATGCAGGACCCTGAGTTCGAGGGGGGTGCGCCCTGGCACAGTGGCCTGGTAGCTCCGGTCCAGGCTGATACTCCCGGGTGTGTGTTGCAAGGTCTCTCTTCTCCCCCCTCTCTGAGAACTCTGATCTTGAGTGATTCCTGCGGGAGTGGGTGGGTCCGCTGTGGTGACAAGGAGGGCTGAACCCAGCGCAGGAAGCCCCCTGCCGGACTTCCTCCCTGAGTCATAACCCCGACACCCCCACAACCTTTCATAGACAATTGCAAATGCTCTTTTGCCTTTGCTGAGATTGTTTTTTTTTTTTTTTCACTGTCATTTGCTGAAAGTGCTTTGGCTTTGTCCCTTTGCCAGGTGGATGCGATTCTAAATGAGGGTCGAGATTGCTCATCTTTCCTTCAACGGTGCAGCTTGTCCTCGATGGATTATGCTTCGGCGACAGTGGCGGCGACATCATCTCCGCTCCGGACAATCAAGCGACCGAAATTGGAGATGGAGGACCCACCATCGCAGACATCATCTGGCTCAGCGGCATCAAGTGAGGGAATTATTGGTCATGGTGTCTCGTCCACGCTATCCCACCAACCACTTTCTCCCAAGCAGCCATTTCAGCATTGTGATCGTTCGCCAACAGGACTGCCGCTCCCGACCATCAGATCTCCACGAACACTCTTCTTCCATTCTATGAATAGACGGAAGGGGACTCCCCACCGCTCACCAATGTTCTAACTTCGAAGGTCGAAGTTCGAACTCTACTACTTCCATTTCAGCATCCACATGATCTTGTTGTGGAAATTCACCATCCACATGCTGTGACATGCATGCATATTTTGGGAAGTTCCAAAGGAGTATTCTTTCACAGGGCATGCCCCTCCCCCGCTTTGCTTGCTTTGCCCCACGCAGAAGCAATGTGTTCTTGAGTCAAACTGACATCAACTGTGTTTATTCTTGAATTCACCTCATCCTGCATCAGCTAGACCATGCTATTCCCTCTTCTTTTCTCTTGTATCAGGAGCTCACTCTCATGCCAGTGTCCAGTTACTTCTCCTGACTCCCCTCCACGCTGTGTGTACCCTGTCTCTTATACACATCTAGATGTGTATAAGAGACAGGGCTTGCCTCCCACCCTCGGCAAACCCCAGATCTC